AGTAGGTGTCTTCAGGCCCGAATGAGAGACAAGCCTGTGTGTAAAGTGTTGAAACTTGACTAATGCATGGAATAATAATGCAACACAAAATGTACTTAGAACAAAATGTATTGAAACAAGAAAGTGTACACAATATTTACATATAGTCTTTTGTATATTCCTGGGAAGACCGTTCCTGGAGAATGTGTTGACTTAGTCGCAGTCGGGCAGAGTCTCTGGATTGAATCTCTTGATTCCTCCCCTTCTCTTCCCGGTACCAACCATATTTATATGGTCGGTACTCCACTATGCAAATTAGGTGGATCCTACCACAACATAAAGAAAGTGTGATGAAATATAAGAAAGAGCTAATAAAGATCCTTATCAGATGCTATGGCAATAAAATTCCTTTTCCTCTTCCTCTTGCATTGAACTCGTTATATACATGTGCGTGTGTGAGTGCGTATGTGTGCGCGCACGGTCTTCTTATAATGTATGCAAGTTACGATAAGTCAGATGAGTATATGCCTACTATGGATGATGTGAGGGAATCGACTCATAATGGTTGAGCCGTTACTTCACATGCACACCGAGGATTCTTGGCCTTGTCTCGGTTTACTTCAAGCCGTAGTCAATGATGATATGCAACAAATAATAGTCAACTTTTTTTTTTATTTGTATGAGTGGTTGATTTGAAAGCATAAAGTGCATCAGCAACTAACACATTGAACCTTTCACTATATTGTCACCAAATGCTGGCCAATCACAGATGGGTTAATTCAGTCGTAAGATACGAAATCAAAAACTTAATATTTTTTTTGGTTTTTTTAATTAAGATCGACATTCTCTTCTTCTGTGTCTGTCTTAGTCTGTCTCTTAATCTGTCTATCGAACTTAATATCTCTTAAACACATCATTCTAATATATCTTAGCATTTACCTTAATTCATATCGAAAGGTACAATTTTGCTCATGTCACAGTAATTTTGTGTTATCATTACTTTAGAATATATGCCTATTTTTGTGCATATGAGTATTTTTGGGTGCCTGTATTTTCGTAAGGATTATCTCTATCTATCTATCTATCAATATATATATATATATATATATATATATATATATTCTCAGACAGTACTGTTTCGCTGTATCACAGATCCTCAGTGCGACTAGACAAATATATACAGTGCTACGCAAAAGTAAGTCAACTCCTGAGATAGTATTAAAAATTGTCTCTCTTTTCAAGATAATCAACAAATCTTAATTAAATTATATATTCATTAAAAAAATACTTCATTAAACGAATTAAAACCGCATTCAAAAAATTTTTATCAAGCTGGAATAAAAATATTAATTGAAAATTAAGATGTGCAAAAATAAGTGAATCCTCACTTTTAATATTATCTTAGTGGTACACTTACTTTTAAGCAACATAATATCTATCTATCTATCTATCTATCTATCTCTCTCTCTCTCTCTCTATATATATATATATATATATATATATATATATATATATATATATATATATATATATACTAGTAGCATTACCCGGCGTTGCCTGGGTTTATTCAAAAAAAGATCACGAATCTCATCCAATCTGTAAAGTTAAAATAAAGAAGATTTTTCTTTAGTGCCTCTTGTCTATATGGCGATAAATTATAATGACATGAAGTGTGAAAACATTTATAACAGGAGAAAGTTGTTTTTTACAGAAGCACAGAAGATATGAGAAAATTGTCAGCAATTGAAGTGTACATTAATCGCAATCGAGCTTGGAAAATTGTTGAGGAGAAATTCTTTGTTGACAGCTTTTGCTGAAACTACATCGAATGAACATGCATTGGAAGGAAAAGAAATTCAACAACTACATCATTTACTCGATATAATCTCAATATGTATTGAAATTTTCGTCGAAATTGGGGAATACTGCTACAAAATACACTTGAAAAGCAATTGAGGCATCAAGGATTTTATAGGGTCATCCTGGGGCCCTCTCATGCATTTTTAAAAATCTGACAACCGATTTCTATCTCATTGTAAGAGTGTAACAAACATGCAAAATTTCATCAAAATCGAAGCAATTTGAATTTTAGGGGGTCCTTTGGGGCACCCTGGGTGTCCCAGTGTCGAGAGAAACGAAAATCAATATAGCGTATAATAAGTGTGACAGTAAGTTGCATACACTTATCAAATTTCATTAAAAACGGCCTTAGGGTTTAGACTTCAAGTCTGAAAGTTTAAAAACAACCAAACTAATGGAAATTCCCATTTAAACATTATATTTATCGATTATCGGTTATTGATACACCCAGTATCGAGTACAATCTATGTTCCACATTTGGTGGAAATATGCCTTATGGTTCTCGAGGAGTTCGCGAACACACACACACACACAGTCAGTTTTATATAGAAAGATAGAAGATATATATATATATATATATATATATATATATATAGATAGATAGATAGATAGATAGATAGATAGATAGATAGAAACTCGTAGAATAAATAATATTTAGCTCTACTCTGTATTGAGCCCTCTTTTAGATTAAATGTTACGTACAGTGGAATTATACTCCATTTGTTATCATTTTACCTGTATATATATATATATATATATATATATAGCGTCATCCACAATACATATATATATATATATATATATATATATATATATATACACACACACACATACCTACCCTAGGTTAGTGTTAATAATAATGTTGTCCCAGAACTATGCCTAATTTGATGAGGGCTTGTTTGGAGGTACCACCGTTGTAATCTATTGTAAGACTTTTGGTCTCGCGGATAATGTAAATTAAATTATTAGAAATAAAGGCATATAAGGATTTTCTTTCGCGCCTTTAAAATTAAATCACCACGTGGTATCACTAGAACGAATTGAGAAGTTACATTGTACTCTAAATTTCGATTAATTCAGTTCTCTGTACTTTAGATTTTAAACCTTTGCAATTAGGAATTAACTAAGTGTGATTTTAGACAGATGTGTTTGGCAAGAAGTAGAAATTATTGGGTTTCGGCAAAGATAATTAATTGTTTCGTAAAATCACTTCGAATAAATAAGTTCAGAATGACTTTAAGTAATTACTTTGTTTTACAATTCTACCGAAATTTAATGTTCTGCCTTCTTTGGCTTTGTTTTCACTTGTATTTGATTTGTATTCAATATATCGATTATTTTGAATTGATTTGTATTCAAAATATTGATTATTTTGAATTGATTTGTATTCAATATATCGATTATTTTGAATTGATTTGTATTCAATATATCGATTATTTTGAGTTGATTTGTATTTAAAATATTGATTATTTTGAATTGATTTCTATTCAAAATATTGATTATTTTGAATTGATTTGTATTCAATATATCGATTATTTTGAATTGATTTGTATTCAAAATATTGATTATTTTGAATTGATTTGTATTCAAAATATCGATTATTTTGAATTGATTTGTATTCAAAATATTGATTATTTTGAATTGATTTGTATTCAAAATATTGATTATTTTGAATTGATTTGTATTTAATATACCGATTATTTTGAATTGATTTGTATTCAATATCTCGATTATATTGAATTTATTTGTATTCACACACGAGGAGAGGCTAGGTATGGCTTTTGTTTTAATAAGACATTTTAATTATACAACATTTTAGTTTTTCGTCTTCTCGAAGTATTCACAAACTAAGTCAATTTGATTTAATATTATAATTGAATATGATATATATATCTATATAATAAATGCAAATGTCAGGGTATCACACTTTTTCAAATGTACTCCTAGAGGCCATAGCCCAACATTTTATACCATTTTGGAAACAGGCCGACTCTGTGAGCAAATTAAAAAATTCCAGGCCAGATCCGGACAGTCAATCCTGAATTTTTGGATTCCCAAATTTTCATTACTGTGAATGCTTTAGAAGACTTTTTACTTGATTTTTTGCGACAAATGTTTCGTACGATAACAATTTTTATAACTTGAAAATAAATTTAGAAATTTTCGAAATTAATTGCGAAATCAAGCAAAAATCACCCATGAAATAAAAATAATTGTTTGTACGGAAAGTAAGGATCTATGTACATCAAATTGTCTTTAAATTAAGTTACGGCAGAAGAATTATCGTTGAACTTTTAAAAGATAAACTTAAATATTAATGCAATACTTAAATGCAACGATCGATTTTGAGTTCTCTTGTATTGATGCCTACTCCTTCTTATCTATTGTGATGAAAGCCTAATCAAGAGCACTCTGTAGGAGCTAGCTTAAATGCCACCCGATAGTTACCTCCCCTTACATCGTGAAATTTAAATTGTACAGAACCTTTCCATTCTTAACTTCGCAGGTAAAAAATTTAACTTTCAGATGAACACAACAATTTTATCTTAGGAAAATACGACCCTGATGATGACATTGTGGTAATGTCGAAAGTACTCAGACTAAATGAATATGTATCAGCGTGATAATTTTCTACCTTCCTTTAATAAGAATACTAAGAATCTAGGCCATCAATATAAGAGGATCCTACTGTAAATAAGTAGATAAACCTTGTCTAAATTATTCAATGAGACATGTCAATATATATATATATATATATATATATATATATATATATATATATTCAAAATTCACTTGAGGATGAAACAGAGCTGATTTTTAGCTTCTGTTTTTGAAACATGAGAACTCTTATGTAGCGATGGAAAAAAAAAATAATTATAATTTAGGTTCTACTTATGTATTGATCTCTGTTTTTTTTAAAAAAAACAAAATACTAAAGAACTTCGGATTATTAACCCAACAGTTCTTTCCTATTTTTCTATATATTTACACACACACATATATATATATATATATATATATATATATATATATATATATATATATATATATGCAAAGGAAGTACTAAAACGTTATCTACTTGGCAGAGATCTCTTTTTCATATTTTGTAGAGTGGGCCATGTAAGAAATTGTGTGAGTGTGTGTGTGTGTGTGTGTGTTTTTTAATAGATAGATAGATAGATAGATAGATAGATAGATAGATAGATAGATAGATTGATAGATAGATAGATAGATAATTTCTTTTGTTTTGCTTATATGACTGATTTAATGTTCGTTATGCTTCTGTCTTGTAGAACCGAGTTGTTATATCCCGAAAGAAACAACGAGAAATCTTGAACCAAGCCAGTTTAAACTGTAACAGATCCATGGAAGAAGACCCCTATCCAACGCAAGGTAATTTCTCTCCGAACATAAAATTTATCTTTTTAATTATAAGTCATTCTTTTTCACAGGAAAAAAAAGAATCCTTTATTTGAATCCAATAGGTTTGGCGGGGAGGCATTATTTTTTCTCGTTTTGTTGATCAGTGATGTTGCATATGAAGTTTTGTTCTGCTTTAATTTATGCCTATGACGTTGTAAAAATTAATCATTTTTATAACATCCTATGTAGAAAGCATATTCCATTTGCTACACTAGTTCAAAACGATGCCCATTTACTTCGCTGGTTCAAATTGGTTCAAAATGCTGTCCATTCACCCAAAGAGTTCAAAATGTACATCTTGCTGCAATGGTTCAAAATGCTGAAGAATTGCATTTTTCAAAATGATCTTCGTTTACTTCACTCATTCAAAATTATGTACATTTTGTTTCACTGGTTCAAAGTTATGTCTATTTTTGTTCACTGGTTCAAAGTTATGTCCATTTTCCTTCACCTGATCAAAATGCTGTCCATTTTTTTTTTGTTCAAAATGCTGTCCTTTTTTTGGTTCAAAATACTGACGATTTATACCACTGGTTAAAAATGATGTTCCCATGCTTCACTGGTTCAAAATCCTGATCATTTACTTAATCAAAATGCTCAACCTTAATGGCTCCTTGGTTAAACTGAGAACATTCCAGTCTTATTAAGTAAAGTTTGTATTCCTCCAGCTGAATAAGGTCTTGCATTATGATGTTTGAGAGCAGCGTCTTTTCTGTTCATTTAAAGAATTGCTTTCTTAATTGACATCGCTGAATTGATAGCTATAAAGAACGGCGGTGATGTTCTCACCAGGTTCCATTCAGACATGTTTACGTTTCAATATATAGCAGCATTTAATGTTGTTCAAATAAATTTAATAAATTTTATCTTAGTTGTTTAGGTCTGAAATCTAGCTTTGATAAAAAAGACAATAATCAAATATATATCTTTTTTATTTTGCATTAACAGTATATATATATATATATATATATATATAGAGAGAGAGAGAGAGATAGATAGATAGATAGATAGATAGATAGATAGATAGATAATATTAGTGGTAAATATACACATACATATGCAAAATATATAAATATATATACATCCATGCATACACATACACATACATATATATTTTTTTTGAATAAAAAAATTCCAAGAGCATAGAATCCAGGTAGACTTCAATGTCCAGGACAGAGTAAGGATATAATAAAAAGGATTAAACACTAATATTCCATTGGAATTGCAATCCAATATATATATATATATATATATATATATATATATATGTGTGTGTGTGTGTGTGTGTGTGTGTGTGTGTTTCATGAAAGAGGACATACACTGTATTGCGATAAAGCTCTTTATATAATTTTTCTTGTGTTCGAACAATTTGCTTTCTTTTCTCTCTCTCTCTCTCTCTCTCTCTATATATATATATATATATATATATATATATATATATATATATATATATATATATATCTCTCTATATATATATATTGTATATATATACTGCATATGTACAGTATATATATATATATATATATATATATATATATATATATATATATATATATATATATATATATATATATATATATATATATATATATATATATATATATATATATATTGTGTGTGTGTTTGTAAAAGACCAAAAATCTATATTTCGGACCTTTTTATATATATATATGTGTGTGTGTGTGTGTGTGTGTGTGTGTGTGTGTGCGCGTGCGTGTGTGTTCGTGCGCGTGTATGTGTTTGGTGTGGGCATTTTTGTGTGGACATAGAAACAATACTTGATAATGACGCTTTAAATAATTAACAGACAATACAGTGTTGAATAATCTTTCCATGTTGCACTTATCCACTGAACCACGTGTCCGCTAAGATAAAACTGTTGGTTGAAAATTGGCGCCTTCAGCCAATTCAGTATTAATAAATTACACTTTATGATCAAAAATTAAAATAAATATGTCCAATAATTTGTCCTGCTATTTAGCCCATTGTTGTGAAAGAAGATGGATTCATACTTTTTCCAAGGAAACAAGTTTCGATAAACAAATAAAAAAAGTAGTTTGACATCAAAATTTTGAAATGTTCATAATCGATTTTATAATTTATTATTCATTTTAATATTTAATAATTATTTAATTCGATTTAATATTTGTTGTGTATGATACACCTAATTTACATAAGCGGACTACCGACCATATAAATATGGGTTGGTACCGGAAGACGGGGAAGATAGTAGAGATTAAGAAATTGAATCCAGAGACTCTGCCCGACTGCGATTTAGTCAACCCATTATGCAGGAACAGTCTTCCCAAGAATATACCAAACTAACTGTAAATATTGTGTACCTATTCTTTGTTTCAATACATTTTGTTAACGTACATTTTGTGTTGTATTATTCCATGCTTATTTAAGCTTCAACAATATTATTAATGAATTAATATTGAATAATAATAATTAGTCCATGTGATTAATATTGACTATTAATGTTTCTGTTGATTGATAAGGGAGAGGATTATTTCGAAAAATAAATATTTGTTATGTAAAATAAATGGCTTTTTTAGTCTTATTTTATTAATTGTTCAAGAAATACAAGTCGCAAGAGACATTCAAACTAGAGGGCTACTGAATGAGGTTGTTGTGTGAACAATATTTTAAAATCTTTTCATCCCAAGCAAGGCAATAACGCCACTAAGACGCAATGGGTTACTGAGTGTTAGAGAATATGAGAAAAACTGCTATTAAAGAGAGAAAACAATAAAAGAACAATGTTTAAGAAGACAGAAGAAACCCTATTTACATTATTCGAACTATTGTCCTCATCTTCGTCGCCATATTTATTACAACGTTTCGGCCGTTGTACGCTCCGGCCTTCTTCAGGTAGCTGGAATGTCGAACTGAACCCTTTATTTCGCTCACTGGGGTAGACTGTTCTAGTTCCACGTGCCATGTTTAATGGATGTCAGTTATCAGTTATCTCCTGTTAATTCCCCTCTCCAAGTTCTCCACTGCCTTAACCGGGTATTGAACTCACACTCTTTGGGTCCTGTCACTGGATCTAACCAACGCCTTTAACCATTGTGCCATATGTCCTTAAGATTGTCACTATCGGAGAAGTATCTTCCCAGCAATGTTCCAAAAGTTAGTAGTTCTTGGGAAGAGCTGGATGTGCAGATGGTGTAATAGATAACGGATCTGTCCGAGAAATAGGAAAGCTGAGTTCGAATTCCAGTCGGGTTCGTTACATTAACTTACGCGCAAATAGCATTGCGATAAGTGCATCTACCCCTAGCTATGAGTTAAATAGTAAGACTAGTATCTAGAAAAAACATATTTGTTCTCAAAAAGTGTTAGCTCGATATTCACTCCCGCCTAAAAAGAATTAGTTTTACAATCCAAAATATGTTTTGGCTTGAAATAACTCACAAAGGGTTGATAAGCCGTAAAAAACAAATCAATGTTGGGAAGATGTTCGATTAGAACTTTCTTTTTACCAGTAAAATGCTAAAAGGAAGAGATAATATCGTGTACGTAGCATGACGAGTTTTAGCTGTGAAGCTCTGAACTGGAGGATCGAAGAAATGTAAAACTGGCAGTTGTTCTTGAAAATAACCTCAAATCAGTTAACTAGGGCAAGAAATGACTTATAAATTTTAACGGTTCAAAACTTATGTTCTTTAAACATCATAGAAAACCATTTCTCACCTCAGTCAGCATGGCTGATGCTAACCTCTAGGAGAGCAATTCACTGTGCCTTCTTGGTCTCATGTTTTCTCCTGATATAAAGTGGAGCGATTATATTCAATAATTTGTTAGGTCTGCTGCTAAGAATGTTTGTTCCCTGTGTCGTGCCAGACAATTTTATTCATCAGAATCCATCTTGCACATTTATAAATCTACCATTCCGCCGTGCATTGAATATTGCTACCTATTTGATCTGGTGCTCCTGCTATATATTTCGATATTCTTGAAAAAATTCAAAGAATTGTCTGTAATGTTATAGGTCCTGACCTGGCATCTTGACATCAGTCACTTTCTGACCACTGTGAGAAGGCTTCCCTCTGTCTTTTCTATAAATATTTTCGTGGCAATTGTTCTAATGAGCTCTCCTTTGTCGCCTTGACCATTTGAAATTAAGCGTGCTACTAGATTGGCAATTAGGTCTCACAGTTTTACTGTTGAACTAGCTAAATGTAGTTATAAATTTTATTCTAATAGTTTTTTTTCTTGCATTTCTCACCTGTGGAACTTCTTTTTTGCTTCCCTACAATCTTCAAACATTTAAATGCAACGTCAATCACCATCTTCTGTCTTCCTGATACCTGTTCTTTTAGTGTCATTTCTCCTCAGTAAAGATTTTTCATTCTCTTCTACTCTCAATAATTTCTTGCGTCTTAGTGGCATTATCGCCTTACAAAAATAAAAAAAAAGCTCATCAGAACATTTTCTATAGACATATCGATAGAGTAGCGAGCGGCTTGCGATGTTTTGTCTCTCGTAAAAGAGTAAGAGTCTACAAAGTATTTTTCTAGTTAAAACTCTTGCAAGTGAAAAAAAATGATTGAGAAGCTCTGGTATAATGTGTTGTGTATTGCTGTTATTAAATATTCGGTGAAGAGAAAGACTAACAGAAGATTTTAAATCTTGAACCTTTTTTTTATGCGAGTTGATGTGATCAAGAGACAGGATTGGAGAAGTGAATCCTAAATAGCTATAAAACACTCCTGATTGGCTATAAAATCAAATTTTCTCGTGAGGCTTTTGATTGGCTAAACTGAGAATGTTATTGAAACCTATTTTCCTGTATTTAAATATTCGAGTAAGAAAATAACTCAACATTGTAAAAAACTCTATTACAGAAATGGCCGCCTAAAAGTTCGATAAATACGAACAACTCCCTGATTTATTTTTAAAAGGCTCATGCAAGCCTCTTTCCGTTTGGGAGTTACATTACAATCGAAACGTAAATTTAGTTTTAAAATATATTGAAAAAAAACAATATTTTTAGAGAAAACTTTTATTTTATTCCATTCCCATTTAAAACAAATTCTTCTTTTATATAAAGTCATTTTTTTTCTTTTTTTCTTTTTTTTTTTTTTTGCTTTTCTATATTTTCCTGTTCTATTGAGTTTTATGGTCGCTTTTCTAACCTCCATATAGCAGAGAGCGCTTTACTTTAGATACGTTGATTTATACACGCCGTTTATTTGATTCGACGACTCAATTTTCTTAGATTCGCCCGTTTTACAAGCCAATAATATGCAAAATCGTATATCAAACCATGATTTCACCGACTTCTATCTTCAAGCAATAAAAAACATTTGAAAGAAAATGAATTACTTGCCTGAGATTGAGTGCATGCCAAGCTCGATCCAGATAAATCGGCAGAAATTTGTCGGACAGCCAATCTTCGCCCCAAAACAAATATTTCACATTAACTTCTCACAAGAATTTATTTGTTCGAATATTTCTATACGAGCTTATTCCTATATTTCGACGCGAGTATAAAAGAAAAATAATGTGCGTATGTGTGTGCTTTTGTAAGCTACGATGACTTATATAATTTAAAAAGTTATATCTCAAGATAATACGCTATGGATACTAGCGGAAATACTGGCCTCGGTCGGGTTCAAATACGCTTAAAATATATTCAATCATATGATTTCATTGGAGGCATTGGATAACTTGTACATTTAATCTTGAAAGTGGAAAAGGCTGTCTATATTTCTTAGATGAGGTATTATGTACACTTTTTACATTATTCGGACTATTGTCGCCATAGTATTGTATTACAGCGTCTCGGCCGATGTACATTCCGGCCTTCTTCAGGTGGTTGGATCTAACCAACGCCTATATCCACATAGCACAGTAGATAAAGGCGTTGGTTAGATCCAGTGACAGGATCCAAAGAGCGTAAGTTCAATACCCGGTTAAGGCAGTGGAGAACGTGTAGAGGGGAATTAACAGGAGATAACTGAAAATTGACATCCATTAAACATGGTACGTGGAACTAGAACAGTCTACCCCAGTGAACGAAGTAAAGGGTTCAGTTCGACATTCCAACCACCTGAAGAAGGCCGGAGCGTACAACAGCCGAAACGTTGTAATAAATATGGCGACAAAGATGAGGACAATAGTCCGAATAATGTAAATAAAGTGGAAAAAACTTTGCTCTGGGTCAATCTCACTCTCTGACCAAGAACAACATGGACTCAAAAAGAAAGATATATATATATACAATATCTCTTGTTACTCTTTAACCGCAGCAGTTTCATCAGATTTTTCCATCTTCTCTTTGGATACCTTAACGAAAGTTATTGGTCCAACACTCCTACTGAGTTTACAGCATGCCTGGACATCAACTCGGTTATTTCTACATCCCACACCTGTGCTAGATGGTCGTTGATCACACGAAAGGATTCTTTCGTCCTTTGACAGGACTTGTTTTTTATCCAGCCGCCTTCCTCGCCAATTGGTGGGGCCGGTTATGTCACCGATATCACGACCATGTGTCAGGTAGTACTCGATTACATCCAACCAGCAGCACTCATAGAGTGATCTGCTTGGAGAGTCGACATAGGTACAGACAGACAAAGATGGGCACTTCGACGTGGTGTAGTGATTAGTATGCCTGTCTTGCTTGATAAGTTACGACTGAGTAAGGAGTCCAACTCTCACTGGGCGCCCCTAATTTTCGGCCTTGAGCCACATCTAAGCTACGCCTTTAAAATCATCATACAGACAGAGATAAAGATCTAGTTAATTCACAGTTTCACCGGCGTTTAGTATATCGTCAATTGAATTCTGTTTCAGAAGTTTGATGTTCTTTGGGCTTAAAATGGCACGGGTTCTCAGCCAGTTATGGTCTGTAAACTGATTCCTCAGGTTAGGAAATACCATAGTCATTAGTACCATATATACAAAAGCAACCTGACCCGGCCATCCTGCTCGCCAACCAAAATGCCATTACCAATATCAATAGTTGCTTCGAAAAATTACCAGCTTCCTCATCACCACTGAGCTGCACTCTCACGTTGGTTATGAGTCTCAACTTTTTCACACATCTTCACAAGACTTTATACTGACGTTTACATCGTCAGCTCTTGTCCCTTTCGGAATCACTGGAAGGGTTTGTCTAATGTTTCCCGCAAACTGAACTATTGCACCTTCCGTGAGTCGTGTTTCCTGTTACTTATCAAGAACCTCGAAGGAACCCCTATGTCACATTGTTGCCTTATCCTATGTGTAATGGCCGCACAGCTCATTTGTGCTTCAAACTCCCTTTGGACCTGACCAAGAAAAGAGAAGGCAAACTGCCACATCACTCGTGGTTCTATAAAAAAAAAAAAAATCACCTTTAAAAAAAGAAAATAACTGACTAAACAGGAAAAATGAGAAAATGGTGACATGCAAACATTTAAACAAATATATAATCTACTATCTAATATATATATATATATATATATATATATATATATATATATATATATAAGACCTTGTCCATTTCATATACTGTTATGGGACCTTACCCATAATAACATAATGGACTATTCCATACGTAATAAATACTGCGCCTCAAGAGGAAGCAGGGAGTTCAGTCCGAAGTCGGGCGACCGGCTGATCGGTTGAACTCTCTGCCTTCGGGCGGAGAGGAACCCGAACGAGGCTACGCCGAAGGGCGGAGTCTCTTTCGGGAGGTAAACCGACCCTGAACCCGTTTATACGGGTTCAAAGGGCATATTTTTGGCTGAGCCCACGGGCTCGGAGATCCCACGTTAAATCGGCCTTGTGCCACATGATGCCGTCGTGGGGCGGGGGGTGACTAAATACCGTTCCGTCTGAAGTCTGGAGTTCAGTCTGAAGTCTGGAGTGAAGTCCGTCTGGAGTGAATTCCGTCAGGAGTCTGTCAGAAGTCAGTCAGTCGAGTCAGAAGCAGTTCGAAATAGAGCCGTGTTCAGACAATTACTACTAAACCTGATTGTTCGTACTAACACTTTCTACTTCTCTGTATATATTCCTGTTTGTAATATATCTGTGTTATTCCATGTCCGTGTTCTAGTTCTTCTTTATTGGTTCTACCTTGGACTATCACCGTGGTACAAGGAACCGGACCATAACATATATATATATATATATATATACATATATATATATATATATGCACATTTCATTGAATACTACACACAAGGTGCTTTTTGTGTTAATGTGTCTGCGTTTATACGTTCGTGCCGTTATTTGTAATAGCACCTTGTCTGTCGTATTCAATGAAATGTGCATGAAATAAGGATTACTGCCTAAATACACACACGCACACACACACACACACATATATATTATAATATATCTAATATATATAATATATTTAATAATATATATATAATATATATATATAATATATTTAATAATATATATAATATATATATATATAATATATATATATATATTTACTATCTAAATACGAATACAAATGAAAGAAATACAACACATAACGCTGCCCCATCACAAACACAAACCATACCTAACATCTAATCCATACCAATTACAAACATAATCCATCAAGAAAAAAGTAATCACAATATCAACAAAATAATAATCAACAATATAACACCCAACCATACAAAACTCACGAAAATCCAACAAATACAAATCACCACAACACTCTTTACAAAACGCAAAAACTATAATTAAATATATTAAATATAAAAAAGCGAAGATAAAAAGTGATAAAACAATATACACCAAGCCCACATTAAGTAAAAACAAAAAATACAACCTACCAAAAATACATATATAGTTAACATCCAGAACTACGCGAATAAGGACACATTAACACAAACACAAATACAGTCAGAGGCGTACACACGAACACACAAATATGTATACATACTTGTATGTATAGTTATATGCATACGTGCGGATACATAGACACACGCATAAACACACGCCTTCACAAGCATATATATATATATACAGAAATTCGACCATAACCTAAAATTAAATGGTCAAAACAATAAATCACGAAAAAAACCAATACGAAAGATTAGGAATAAACCAGAGGTCAACTGAAAAGGTGAGGAAAGGAGAAAAGAATAAATAAATAAAGAAAGAAAGGGAAAGAGAAGAAAAGAAGTCAACAACCAGGTAACATGACACCCATCAAGAGAAAACAGGAAAATAACACACTCGTATAATATATATAATATTATACGAGTATATATAATATATATATATATAAATAGAAAAAAAATGAGAAATATCAGCAGAAAAGTCGTCACATATCTATATGGCCACGAAACTCCAAAGTCAGCATGGCGGAAGAAATACTGCCCAGTTAAATAAAAAAAAATCTTTTTCATGCTATATATATATATATATATATATATATATATATAAAAAAACGGACGTCATGCTATATGTTAGGTACGTTTCGACGAACACTTTTTCAATGTTATACGTTGTCAAGTTGGAAAACAAACGAAGACACACTCAATAAAATAAATGAGGCGGGAAAGTTGGAACGCGATTAAAAAGAGATCAATTTTAATTACAATTAAAATTAAAAAGGAGGGTCAAGCGTAAGGAACGTAAAAAAATGCTCCTTCTGTCTGCACAAGCTGGGCTAATGAAATTTTATAAATCCAGCCTCCAAGACCTGAAAATGGTAAACCGAGCGAGCACTGTGTAATATTGAGAACCAAGTTCTTCATAATCGGTGGCACAAATATTTATTTTATTGAGTGTGTCTTTGTTTTCCAACTTACCAACGTATACCTTTGAAAAAGTGTTGGTCGAAAGGTACCTAAGGTATAGCACGACGTCCGTTTTGTTTAAATCTATGTTTTATTTCTGTGGGTACAAATCACTTTATATATATATATATATATATGTATATATATATATATCATACAATCGGAATTAAGATACCATTATGTAAATGGTCATTTTCACCATGTAAAATTAACTTTACAGGATTTTTCAAACAGTCAATAGATGATAAATTATGGAAATAAAAAAAGGGCCAGACAAGGGAAACAAAGAAAGGAAGATAGAAAGTGGAGAGATGAAGAATAGAAAGGAAAGAAAGGTATCAAAGACAACAGGAAGTCGTGTAAGTCTTGATATGAGTGGTGGACAGAGGGGAAAGAAGGAAAAAAAGAAGGAAAGGAGAGAAAGGATAACCTATTTATTATTACTCAGTAGTTTCTTGATATTACGATGAAATTTATAAAGGAAGGTCCCGTAGATTTTGTTTTTGTTTTTGGGGTTTTTTTTAATCCAAATACTTTCGACCTTTTCTAAGAACATCTTTAGGGTTAAATTATGAAGAGAAACTTACTTGCAATTGTAACAGCAATACACACACACACACACACACACACACACATATATATATATATATATATATATATATATATATATATATATAATTATTTATTCGAAAATTATAACATGAATATGTTATTAAATCACTACAAAAATAGCCATTTTGTTTCAACACTTCTGGTGTCTTCAAAATGGCTATTTTTCAATAATTTTAAACATATTTATGTTAAATTTTCGAATAAATAATTATATTTTCTCTACTTTGTATTGAGCCCTCTTTTAAGAATTGTATTTGTTCGTTATTGGAATTTATTCCGTATACACCAATCCTATACTTGTATATATATATATATATATATATATATATATATATATATATATATATATATATATATCCATCCATAAATGTGTACATATAGGTAACTATAAAATACAAAAGTATAATTAAATAAAAATATAACTTTTTATTACTTCAAAAGTTAGCAAAGTGGATACACCGTATTTGAAATAGATGCCCCATTTTTTACTTGCTAAGCAGTGTGTATTACATCTATCGACCTGCGCATTCGAGGAATCATCGTAAAAAAAATCCATTTTTCGTCAGGAATTGAACCTGTGTTCTCCTTTGTAGGGAAAAAATAGCATAATCTAGTGCACTTTACCGCTTGGCTATGTAACAAGCTAGCTTCTATTTTTCCCTTTTTAAGGAAAGCACATCTTCAGCCAGATTATTTTCTTAAAAGCCACATATCTGCTCAGTTTCGTATCCCAAACGTGAACAAAACAATTTCTAAAGTCTACCACTTCGTCCCCAGCCCCTGAACCTCCGGCGTCTTCCTCTTTGGGTTGAGGTGTCCACTCGGTCCGAACCGAACTTAGGGGTAACTGGCCGTACGCTCCCTGAGTACCCGTAGATTGTTTCGACTGGTCAACTGGTCAAGTCCTGCTCACTGGCCAAGCTGTGTTAGTAAGCGGGGTGTTGTCCATACGTTCACAGTCGACTGGGGGTGTGGACACGGCTGTGAGAGTTGGCGCTAGGAAGTTTAGAATGTGGCAAAATAAAACAAGAAATAATATCTGCAGAAGCCAGATAACAACGGGGGAAATATTGACGTCTTTTATATAAGAAGATAACATCAGAACAGAGGTTACGGGGAGAATAAAACATTTAACATAAATGAGAAAAGAAAAAGACAAAATGCATCCAGCGAATTCCCAACAGAGAGAGGGTTTGTTTGGGATAAACGCGTATTGAATCGCCTGAGGTAGGTTTATGACTAATAGTCCCGTCTCATACAGACTTCTCAGAACAGGGGTTAGTCTTCTCTCTCTCCTCCAAAATTCTCCCGCAAATCTCTCGACTCACTGCGAGGATAGTCTCGTGACACTCCTGACTTCAGTCTTTTTTCCCGACTCTGCTTTATTAGCAAAATCTCGAGTTAATATAGAAAAAGGATCAGCTGATCACAACTGACCCTCGGCCCGGCACGCAGCTACCACGAGTGCCAAAAACTATCCCGTGACATGTAAACCTATTCTCCAATTATTTACATTATCTCAATCACGAGTTCTTCTCGCTTCACCCAAATTATACTTTGGGATATCTAAACATTGATTCAACCTTTTAATCAAAACAAATACTGTTAAACAAAACCATTTAAAACATCGCCTCCTGCCCTGAGATCGTGTTTCTCATCAGTAAACACACATCTTAACCCAAATTGTACTTTGATATATAAACACCGTTTCCATTTCCAGTCAATAAAAGTTATATTTGCGTGTGTGCGTTCATGTGGGTGTGTAGTTTATACCTATCTCTGTTACAAAAGAAATAATGGATTTATTGTTAATCCGGTTAAAGCCCATTGGATAAAACTTCAAATGATTACTAAGTTTTATGATACTAAGCCGGTCTTCAATGTTAGTCAATTTCTTCACATATGAAGAGAGGACTTGAGGCAAGTTAGTTCTACAGAAGGATGTTGAGAATATCATGGACGGGGCGTGTAA